TTTAAAGATTTTGTCTTTGTCAATATACAGTTAGTTCCATATATATATTTGGACACAGGCACAATTTTAGTTTTTTTCATGTATTTACCAAAACATATTCAAGCTTTAGTTATATAATGGACATGGCCTGAAAGTGCACACTCTCAGGTTTAATTTGAGGGTATGTACATCCAAATTGGAGGAAGGGTTTAGGAATTATAGCTCTTAAGCCTGTGTCAAAATATATATGAACCTAACTGTATTTTCTGCTTATTCAAAATTTACTTAAACAAACGTTTAAGAAAACCTAATTAGGTTGTTTTTCTAAGTATTTTCTGTTTCCCTTTTGAGTGTGTGTATTTTAATGTTTGTGTTTCCATAAAAAGAAAGAATTAAGGTGAAAGACACAAGAACATATGTGACTTTTTCCCTATTTGTGGTGTATTTTACTTTTATTTTGGTATTTTTTATACAAAAAAAATTACAAAAGATAAAAATGAGTTAAATTAAAATGTATTTGTTGCTTCAATTTAAATTTTATTTTAAATAAAACTGTGACAAAAATTAAAGTATAATTAAAGGAAATACTTTTTTTTTTGTTTTTGATAGAGTGGAGAGGGATTAGAACATTTGTGAGGTTTACTATTATTGCCGGAAGTGAAAGAAAAAAAGAAGATCCCAGATTTTGGGTTGTCCCCAAATTGAGGGGAGATCTTCCAGTGTGGACCCTAGTTCTGATGACAATCAGGAATTCCCTCACTTTGAGGGGATTTCCTATCACTTCCTGTTTTGTCTATTGAATAGAAGGGGATATCTCCCCAATGGGATATAGATGACAAAAATAAAACTGGCAGTTTATTGTTTGTTTAACCCTTTGAGGACCGTAAGATTTTGGAACGCCAAAAGAATCAATTTTTTTTTGTTTTTAAAGTTCGTACACTTCAGTTGCTGTAACTAAGCCATTTCATGAAATAATTGGCAAAAAGCTAGATCCACTTGTTGTTTGTTGATAAGAACTAATATTTTGACTCAAACCAAAAAAAAAAAAAAAGAGTTTTAAGTTCTTAATCAGATGATACGCACAATTACAAACATGGGACAAATACGTCACTTGGTCCTCAAAGAGTTAAGGCCACTGCCGTATTTGCTCAGTGATGTGAACCACCATCCCCACCCCTCTGTTCGCATTCACCTGTCAGAAGGAATCCTTAGTGGCTGGGTGGCCACTGTACTTTATCATTATCATCCAGTTAGGGTTAAGATCTATTTTATATTTCAATATTTTTATTGAAAAATTGGTATACACAGAAATAGAAACGTTACCCACCTACATGGTGAGTTGGGGTGAAAAAAACATTGTTCAGAAAATAAAATATATAGGCACATAAGAAAACATTAGTCAACAATGTTGTAAACAGGAAACACCATCCCCATAGGGTAGCAAATGCTCCATCAGTCAGTAAGCTTAGGCAGTTTCATATAGATATTTAACAACAATAAGAAAACCGAAAAAAATATTAGAAATAGAAGAATCAAAAAAAAAAGATCAAGGATAAGTCAGAAAAGAAGGGGGGGGGGGGGGGAGGGGGAGAAGAGAAAAAAAAAAGGGAGAGAGGATCAGCCGTAGTTCTATTAAAAATAGAGATATAGCTGATCCATGGTTCCCACATAACCTCAGATTTAGAAGTATCATTTTTGACAATGCTCGTAAGTTTATCATTTATCATTATCCAATGAAGTTTTTGTTTAACCCCGTCTAGCTGAATTGATGATTGTCTCCAACACCTAGCTATGGCAATATGTGCCGCTAATAAGAGGTAAAGAATTAATTCAGTTGATTTCTTGGGAATGTCAGTAAGATCTATTTTAAAGGGTAATATTGTTATGTGTTGTCCTTGTTGAACCTTCAAAAATAAACCCAAAGAAGTAAAAAAAAAAAAAAATTAAGTTAAGAAATGATAAAAAGAAAAGCAAAAATACAAAACATCACTGTCTACCAGAATAAATAAATATATGGTGCCGCGCCCTCTATAGGTCCAAATATCTATATTATAATAATATAATAGTGCAATTCAAGCAATTAAAGAACATATGTTAAATTGCAATAGGTATGGAATACACATATGCCGACGACACACAAATCTATCTCTCAACCCCCCACCTCACCCCCTCGGTCTCCGCCCGAATCACACACCTGTTGAGCGACATATCAGACTGGATGTCGCTCCACTTCCTTAAACTGAACCTCTCCAAAACCGAGTTTCTTGTCTTCCCCCCAGCCTGGACCCACCCCCCATTGACTTCTCCATCATGTCCAACAACGCCACCATCAAACCCGCCCCCGCAGGCCAGAGTACTTGGTGTCATTTTGGACTCCAACCTATCCTTCCAGCCCCAAGTCCAATCTTTAACAAACTCGTGCAGACTCCACCTCCGCAACATCGCCAAAATCCGCACGTTCCTAACTCCAGAAACCACTAAACAGCTCATCCACTCCCTCATCATATCACGACTCGACTACTGCAACTCCCTCCTCACTGGCCTGCCTCGCCGCTGGCTATCCCCGCTTCAGTCCATCCTGAATACGGCTGCCAGACTCATTCACCTTTCCAACCGCTCCGTTTCCGCCACCCCCCCCTCTGCCAATCCCTCCACTGGCTTCCGATTGCGCAACGGATCAAATTCAAAATCCTAACGCTGATGTACAAAGCTGTCCACCATACTGCCCCGAACTACATCACTGACCTAATATCCAAGTACTGTCCAACACGCACACTCTGCTCCTCACAAGACCTCCTTCTCTCTAGTTCCCTGGTCTCCTCCTCCCATGCCCGCCTCCAGGACTTCTCCAGGGTGTCACCCATCCTCTGGAACTCCCTGCCCCAACCCATCAGATTATCACCTACTCTCCGCTCCTTTAGGCGCACCCTGAAAACCCATCTCTTCAGGGAAGCCTACCCCGCCCCCTGCTAACTTGCCGACCTCCTCCACTCTTCCTACCACTCCATCCCCCACAGCTATCTCCTCCTGTGCCACCATCCCCTCCCTCCTAGATTGTAAGCTGGAAAGAGCAGGGCCCTCAATCCCCTCATGTTTTGCATTGTATTGGTATTGTTCTGTCACATGTTCTGTTCCCCTCTGTAATGTACAGCGCTGAGCAAACTATTGGCACTTTATAAATACTGTATTATAATAATAATAATAATAATAATATAGAAACAGCAGTTATTAGACTACTAGAGGAAAGTCCAACTGAATTTAAATGTCTTTTCACAAGGTTATACTCACACTTATAAGATTTAACCTGTAAATACCAAATGTTAAATTGCAGGAGTGAGGGAATACCCTGATGTACCGCTCTATGAGGAGCTGAATGGGTTAATTGCCTCTTCACTCTTAGGTGTGTCACTTGTAAGTAAATCTGAAGTTTAAATTCTTCCTTCTTTAGGGCTTTCCTTTCCTGGATGTATTGCTGTGAGTGAGCTTGAGGCATGGATCCATCCCTCCCTATGCCATACACTTCATCTCCGCATACATGCCAAGGATAAAAGAAAGAGAAATAGTGTCTTATCCTCAATAAAAATATACAGCTTTATTTGTGCCCATATGCACTCACATTATATGCAGTAAAATTGCGCTTGTAAAAATGCCAAATGTCGGTGTGACCAGCCTGGACGGCGTGTAGACACACTGGGGTTTATTTACTAAAGCTGGAGAGTCCAAAATCAGACTCCCTTCTGCATAGAAACCAATCAGCTTCTAACCTCAGCTTGTTCAATGAAGCTTTGGCAATGGAACCTGGAAAGATGATTGGTTTCTATGCAGAAAGTGAGTCTGATTTTGGACTCTCCAGCTTTAGTAAATAAACCCCACTCTGTCTATACTCGCCATTTAAAATTTCAGTTGGACTTTCCTCTAAGTAGTCTAATAACTGCTGTTTCTATATTATTATTATTATTATTATTATACAGTATTTATAAAGTGCCAATAGTTTGGCTCACGAATGGAACAGTCGGGTACGTGAGTGACGTCGGAGGGGCATCGACTTTCCTCTAGGGACTTTCCTCGACTTTCCTCTAGTAGTCTAATAACTGCTGTTTCTATATGTGTTGGATTCCATACCTATTGCAATTTAACATGTGTTCTTTAATTGCTTGAATTGCACTATTATATTATTATAATTTATATTTGGACCTATAGAGGGCGCGGCACCATATATTTATTTATTCTTTTCAACACACATATATGAGTATGTAGAGAGGAGCCAGCAAACTCATTTTCCACTGATTAGCTTTGATATATATCACATTTTTAGTGGCTCACAGGCACTCTCACTTTTTATATCACTGTCTACCAAATGTGATCCTCCACAACGGAATTATTATTAATATTATTATACAGTATTTATATAGCGCCAAAGGGTATGCTCAGCGCTGTACAGTAGCAAGGGGGACAGAACATGAGACAAGACAGTAACAATACAATACACGAGGGGTTCGAGGGCCCTGCTCTTTCGAGCTTACAATCTAGTAGGGAGGGGAAGGTGGTACAGGAGGAGATGGCTGTGGGGATAAAATCAAAGCTGAACGAAACCCTATATATAAAATGACTCAACTGCAATAAGTAATACTCCATGTCCAAAGGACTCCATCAGGGTTCAGGGTTCAAATAAAAAAACGGATATGCAGGTAGGTGGGCAACTAAGTGAATCAAAAGGATAGGAGGTTATACTTCAAAGTGAAAGGTTAGAAAAAACTGACTTGTTTGATTTGGGTTGCTGTAGTTATTTGGCAACTTTTTATTCCAATGGCTGAACAAAGAACAGAGATATGAGTTGCATATGGTGGAAATTGTACCATCCATGTACTGTTGGTAAGGATGAACGGGATCCAAGAGCAGGCCAAGTTATGAAATATCCTCCTACAAAGCACCACACTTACCTTTACTTTATATGCATTGTGATTTAAATCAAACAAGATATAAATTTTGGCAATTACTCTTCTATAGATCTTTCTCCTTACCTGTTTGTCCCATAAGCGTTGCCGTCAGTTTGTGTGGTGTCCTAGATGACACTTTTAATGAGGCCCTTACGTGATAGTACCTAAAAGAAGAAAAATGAAATTGCTGTTTCTTTGGTTGTTCTTTTTTTTTACATCAGAAGACATTTAGAGTGGTTACACTAAAGCCCAACCCAGCCAAAATGTTTTACTTTTTTTTTCAAGACAGACCTCTCAAAAAAAGAAAGGTCCTCTTATATGGTCAAGGCCACCTTCCTTTAAAAATCTCCTAATGTTAGTAGTTCCAAAAAGTGGTTGCAAGGAAGTTAGACCTTACACCCCTCCGTATTTCTTCCCATGACACCTAAGAAAGAATTATATCACTCCAGTGAGATCCTGGGGAATGCAGAGCAGACAAAATCTTGTGATAAGATGTTCTTGTAATAGACTGTAGCATGTTCTCACAAGATTTCACCTGCTCTGCACTCCCTGGGAATCCTCTAGAAAAGACGGTGATGACAAGGCCAACGATACAGAATACAGAGGTAAGGTAAGTATAAATACAATCTTTTTTTCTGTACAGGTACATTTTTGACCCAGTAACATTAGGTAATTTTTAAATGGGGAGGGGCTTTGAATATTACGTGCAGATCTTGCTTTATACAGTGGAAGGCAAGTCACGCCCCAAACTATCCTGGTTTTTTTTATTGCTGGTGGTGGTGGGGGGTTTTTTTTCGGTGTGGTGGTGGGTGGTAGTGGTTGAGTTCTCTCTTTTGGTTGGTAGGTGGGGTGGTGGGAAGCCCCAACTATTCTGAGGTTGCTCCAGTCCAGTCACATGATTGGCAGTCCAGTGCCAGCTTTGTTGAAGAGGAGAGATCGCTGTCAGTGGAGACTGGGTGATGACATCACCCAAAGGCTAACTATGGGGCAATCGTTGTTGGGTGTCCCTTCTCTACATTCGGATCATGTGACCAACCTGAGCGACTTCAGAATAGGTAAGCATACAGATCTTTCCTTTCACACAGCAGATAGAATATGCATAGAATGGGGGAGGGTGTAGGGCAAGTTTAGTTAGGGTATGACTTGCCTTTCCACTTTAAGTTTTGGAGATGGTTAGGGGTGGTTAGAATCTCTGTCTTTGACTCTGTAGGCCTGTTTTTCCTTTGCTTCTTGTGTGGTCTCCAGGAAAAGAAGGGAAGGAAAATCTTCCGGACATTGAAGAGAGCAACAAAAAACCCTTCCCTACTTTACAACATCTTGCACATTAATTCAGCTTTGCATGTCTGCACCAGTTTTACATAAAACCGATGAATTTGGTTCAAATTTGTATAGCTGATACTTTTTTCTTTTGTTTTTAAGTAGAGATGGATTAGAACCCTGGTCAAGATTTTCATGTTTAGTAGATTCATCCTCTTTATTTCTGCAGATGGTCATTGTCAACAACACTGATGGCTTAAAGTTAGAATTGTATGAATGTAAGTTAGGGACTTTAGATTGTACGCCCCTTGAGGGTTGGGGACTGATGTGAATGTATTATATATATGTAAAGCTGGCTGGAGTAAATTGACGGCAGCTATATAAGTACCTGAAATAATAATAATTGTGACTAGTTTCATGAATCTTGCTCAAAATTTGGCCAACCTGAACTTTGCAGTCAGCCCCATTGAAGTTTATGGGGGATCTGGTTATTTATTGTGGCCATACTCAAGCTGTTGTGAAATAGGAGGCTAGGCACTGTCATAAGGGGATATATACCAATGCCATGAAATAAAAAATTTAAAAAAACAACAGCGGGAAGAGATATTTTTTCTGCAATGGGGTGACATTAAAAATGCACAATTCCTTTAAACTAAAGGCTTGGGGCATGGTGTTACCAGACATGGGTACCATAGGATATGTAGCCCACCACTGCAATCCACAGTATATCTCCCATTACCTACACATAATTGTCAGCTCTCCTAACAGTTACAATACACACTGACAATATGGCTGATGTGAGCCCACCCTTCTATTTTAAAAAGGGCTGGATTATCCAATATTTCTGATTATTGGCTCTTGTAACTCAGCTGACCAGGGGAAAAACTAAGCCATACATTATGGGCCCGTTAAGACATTCGGTGCTCTCTGAGGAATGATTCACATTTAGGCTGCCATTTAGAGAGAGAGAAAACAGGTGGCGCACACACCTAGTGCATTATCAAGGTTTATTGTAGGAGTGAAAGAATAAATAAAAACATACTCACAGGTGAAGCAAGTATCTAAAAAGCATAGAAAAATGACGATGGTCACAACGGCAGGCAAGGTGTCCTCGTCACTGTCAGTGCAGCAAGCAAGGCTCTTACTTTCCATTCATCATACATCAGCATCAGAGGTTGGTCATCAGCTCTGAGGAAAGGGATTTGTCCCCGAAACGCGTCAGCCATTTGACCGCACTGACAGTTGTGGCCATTGTCATTTTTCTATGCTTTTTAGATACATGCTTCGTCTGTGAGTATGTTTTTATTATTATTCTTTCACTCCTACAATAAACCTTGGATAATGCACTAGGTGTGTGCACCACCTGTTTTCTCTCTATCCAGTGGCTGATTTCCCCGTTCTGAGGAGGGCTGCACCCCTGGAGCATTTCCTTTGGTTGTCGCTTCCCTGGTACCCTTGGCTTCCCTTTTGGCTGTGCATATCCTGAGGCGATGGAGAGTACATATGATGCCATTTAGAGAGCATTTACAGGCAATCAGGGAGGCATTGGATTGCCTCCTTACGGCCCGTTTTAACTGTTTGATTGCCGCATCGGCACGCTACAATTGCACGCACTGGATGCAGTTGCAGAGCACTTGCAAAGCAGCACTTCAAAAGGCAGCATTTGCTGGTTGCATACACCTGCAAAAAGCAACAGAGGTTATAATTCATGCCTTGAAACAAAGCACATGGTCATGCTATGTGTACACAAATCGTTTGGGATTTGGCTTTGAATCCAAGGTTAAGGAGAACTTGAACTTCATGCCTAATCACCAAGATAAGAAGTGATGGGAAATCTAACATTTTACAGTTGTTACCAAAACAAGAGGACCTCTACCTCTTGTTTTGGTAACAACTGTAAAATGTTAGATTTCCCATCACTTCTTATCTTGATGATTAGGCATGAAGTTCAAGTTCTCCTCAGCCTTGGATTCAAAGCCAAATCCCAAATCTTCCATTGACAACTGTCCAAGAGGGGAATTTCCCTCATTTTGAAGAGAATTCATTCCATTTGGAACTAATCAACGTTTTATCCAACACAAGGAAAAGTTACAATGTAACAAGTTCTTTCCTGTATACATCGGTATTGAATTGTTTACTCACCCTCTCTGGAATAAGTCCACATTATGGAATTTATGAAGCTCTACCGAGAACTCTAATGTTGCTTGTACTTCAGACATGGTATTATCAGCTCATCACCTAGACAGGGAAAAACAAACATAATGCACTCTTGTCTCTGATAATACACAAGACATTGTCAGACATGCACAACTCTTGGCAGATAAAAGCATTCAGTGATCTGATAACGCACACTGGCCATGAGTCACTGCTACAGTGCAAAAGGCAGAAATTTCACTTAATGTGTTCTATAAACACCTTATGATTACTCTTCATCAAAATCAAGCAGGGCGTTCATTGTGATTCTGACACTGCAGCCGTTTGCCAATTATTCTCAACTGTGCAACCTTTCTCCTGTATACCTACAGCAGTGTGAGTGCAACACCTCCTGTAGACTGGAGAAAGGATGGAACCAAGCTGTAATTTTCCTTTGATGACTCAGGGTGTGCAGAAGAAGTATCAAAGTAACAGAGTAACATAGTTAGTCATGTTGAAAAAAGACACAAGTTCATTAAAGGTAAAATGAAACCATAAGCATAGTGAAGTGAGACACAACTCTAGTTCCTACACACAAACGTGGCTCCATGAGATGCTGCAAGAGAAAGGAGCCACCCTGAAACAGGAAACCTGGGGCAGTGGTCATGGCACCAGATTAAACTAGAGCATAGGCAAGGGGTCATTTGGGTCATTGGGCAGAATGCCCCTTAAATTTGGGGTCAGTGGGAAGAGTGCCCCTTACATTTGTGGTCACTGGGAAGAATTCCCCTTACATTTGGGGTCATTGGGAAGAATTCCCCTTACATTTGGGGTCATTGGGAAGAATGTACCTTACATTTGTTGTATTGGGCAGAATGCCCTTTAAATTTGAGGTCAGTGGGAAGAGTGCCCCTTACATTTGTGGTCATTGGGAAGAATGCGCCTTACATTTGGGGTCAGTGGGAAGAGTGTACCTTACATTTCTGGTCATTGGGAAGAGTGTCCCTGACATTTATGGTCATTGGGCAGAATGCCCCTTAAACTTGGGTCCAGTGGGATGAATGCCCCTTACATTTGAGGTCAGTAGGAAGAATGCTCCTCACACTTGTGGTCAGTGGGAATAACTCCCCTCTTACAAAAAGCTAAAAAGATCATTGGTTTCAGTGGTAACTTTTCTAAGTAACACAAATTGCCTTTTTCCTGAAAAACCTTTAGCAAACTCTGAAGGAACCCCAGGGTTCCACCAAACCCAAGTTGAGAAAGGCTGGTGTAGGTAATCAAGCACAATTTTAATTTACCTAACCAAGAAGGAAATCGAAAAAGTTACTAAAACAAACCGTTCACGACACAGGCTCTTACAAGTAAAATGTTATGACTCTCCAAATTCTATGCTTTTATTTTTATAAACTCAAAGAATAATTTTTCCGCTGAGTCACTTTGATGGTAGACTTCTAAAACGACAAAAGCACCATTGGAACTAATGTTGGGTTGTTCTGTCGAAACAGAAGTACATTGAAACAATGGTGATTATACCCCTAGCATATCACCTGCTGCTCTGAGGCACAAAGTGTTATTGGCGCTTTCTGATTTCTGAGGTTACTGTAGCAAATCACATGTTAGAGCGCGGTTACTCCACATAGCAGAAATGGTGCTACAGATCATAGTTATTTGCTGAGGTACATCACAATGATGACACTTTGCTGAATATTGTAGCAAATGAGAAACATCCACGATGGATATCTATCTATCTATCTATCTATCTATCTATCTATCATATCTATCTATATCTATCTATCTATCTATCTATCTATCTATCTATCTATCTCATATCTATCTATCTATCTATCTATCTATCTCATATCTATCTATCTAACTATCTATCTATCTATCTATCTTATCTATCTATCTATCTATCTATCTATGTAATTTTAAACAGAGAGGAAATATAGATTACACTATTTTGTAAAGGTTGATGCTTTGTTATCCCATATGGAAGAAAAATATATTTCAAATATATTTAAAAAATATTCTTCCCAAATATATTGACATATATTTGAAATGCTAAATATATATATATATATATATATATATATATATATATATATATATATACACACTGCATGCTGAAATGTGTTTTGATTATGAAATATATGAAACATATTATTAAAAATATATTTCAAATATACTGTATGTCTTTAAAATACAAATCTAAATTTTTGGAATGCATTTACAAATATATGTATATATATAATATATATATATATATATATATATATATATATATATACACTGCATGCTGAAATGCATTATTTATATATTAAAAAATATATGAACAATATTGTTAAAAATATATTTTTTAAAAATATATTCAGATTTTTTTGACGTGTAAAAAAGTAATTTTAACATATATTTTTAAATATATTTGTAAATGCATTCCAAAAAATGTAGACTTGTATTTTTAAAAGACATACATTTTGTAATAAAAACGCATTTCAACATGCAGTATATATATATATACACACATGCATTCCAAAAATGTAAACTTGTAATATTAAAGACATACAGTATATTTGAAATGTATTTTTAAAAATATTTAAACCGCATAAAAATGCATTTCAACATGCAATATATATATATATAGTTATTATTGAAATATATTTTGAAATATATTGAATATGGCCAAAATTGTAGCATTTCACATATATGTCAATATATTTGGGAAGAATATTTAAAAAATATATTTCAAATATATTTTTCTTCCATGTAGGATAGACCCCCTCCCTTTTACACGATGGGGTTTAATTATAAATTTTTTCACCCATGGTTCATACAACTTTCACCCAGAATCTGCACATTTTTCACTTTAATCCATTTAATATAAACACTGTGACCCATGAGACAAGATCTTTTTCATCACTTGAACTATATGCACAGGTTTTGAAAAAGTAGACTTTGTTCCAAGAAATGCAGCTGATGAAAATCTGCATGGGCAGCACAGTGGCTAAATGGTTAGCACTTCTGTCTGGCAGTACTAGAGTCGCTGGTTCAAATCCCAACCACGGCACCACCTGCCTTGAGTTTGCATGTTCTCCCTGTGCCTGCGTGGGTTTCCTCTGGGTACTCCGGTTTCCTCCCACACTTTAAAGACATGCTGGAAGGTTAATTGGCTCCTGTCTAAATTGTCCCTAGTATATGACAAAAATATTCACAACCTATCATTCCTAGATACTCTTGCTCTAATGCCAAGGAAATTCGCCAGCAACAGGTAGGTGCAAACAATAGGTTTAGGAGACCAAGTGAATACAGAACTATCAATCTCGGCTGATTATAAAGGGTCACTCCTGCCTTAGGCAGCATGCCCTCATATGTGTCCATGGAGGCCTGTGGTTGTGTGCTTAGAGCATGTACATTGTGTGCTAATAATAGGACTTTTGGTTCTTGGGGACTTTTTTTTCTAATGGTCCTGACCCACACCACCCTTTTGGCTTCAACCAGAATTATGTGTCCTGCCTCAGCGGCCCCCCTTAGAGACCCCATCATATATCCCAGGAGGCTGAAGGAGCCCATTCACAGAATGGCCAGGGACAGAACTTCCACTTGGGGGGTGGAGTAAGTCTGAACCTAGGAGAGGAAGCTGGCTGAGGAGAACCAAGATGGCGGAGCAGGACATAGGCACAGGCGGAGTGCTGCAGGACAATGCTGAGCAGGTGAGTGTGTATTTTTTAATTCAACTCAGCATAATAGGTAAGTGGGGACGGGTTGTAGAAAAGGTAGGTGGGGAGTGAAGTTCCTCTTAAAAGCAGGGTGTCTACATTAGCATGCCACAAAACATCCCTTTTACTTTTGGGTTTTTTAATTGGAGTTTTTGAATTTTTATATTAATTTTGAGGATATGGTATGCAAGGTAATGAATCATTTCCTTTTCATACAATAATTCATTATGAAGTTTTAGTTGCGCACATTAGAGGGAAGCTTGACCTTCCCATCTACAACACGTACAAATCATTAGTAACACCTCATCTGGAATATGCAGTTCAGTTTTGGGCACCAATTCACAAAATGAACAGGAAACTGGAGAAAGTACAGGGAAGGGCAACCAAACTGATAGGAGGCATGTAGGAGCTCAGCTATGAGGAAAGATTAGAGGAACTGAATTTATTCTGTCTTGAGAAGAGGAGTCTAAGGTGGGATATGATCAACATGTATAATACATAAGGGGGATATGATCTCCATGTATAATACATAAGGGGGGATATGATCTCCATGTATAATACATAAGGGGGGATATGATCTCCATGTATAATACATAAGGGGGATATGATCTCCATGTATAATACATAAGGGGGGATATGATCTCCATGTATAATACATAAGGGGGGATATGATCTCCATGTATAAATACATAAGGGGGGATATGATCTCCATGTATAATACATAAGGGGGGGGATATGATCTCCATGTATAATACATAAGGGGGGATATGATCTCCATGTATAATACAAAAAGGGGGATATGATCTCCATGTATAATACATAAGGGGGGATATGATCTCCATGTATAATACATAAGGGGGGATATGATCTCCATGTATAAATACATAAGGGGGATATGATCTCCATGTATAATACATAAGGGGGATATGATCTCCATGTATAATACATAAGGGGGGATATGATCTCCATGTATAATACATAAGGGGGGGATATGATCTCCATGTATAATACATAAGGGGGGATATGATCTCCCATGTATAATACATAAGGGGGGATATGATCTCCATGTATAATACATAAGGGGGGATATGATCTCCATGTATAATACATAAGGGGGATATGATCTCCATGTATAATACATAAGGGGGGTATGATCTCCATGTATAATACATAAGGGGGGGTATGATCTCCATGTATAAATACATAAGGGGGATATGATCTCCATGTATAATACATAAGGGGGGGATATGATCACCATGTATAAATACATGGGGGATATGATCTCCATGTATAATACATACGGGGGGGATATGATCTCCATGTATAATACATAAGGGGGATATGATCTCATGTATAATACATAAGGGGGATAT